CATTGTATGTGCATATAATAAAATACATGTTTTTTGTGCAATGATTTTGCTGATAGTAATTAACTTTTTACAGATGAGGCTCTTATGAAGGAGCTGAGGAAAAGCATTCGCCTACGTTCATCCTCAGGTAATCCGTTTTGCTGAGTTTATAGTAAAAATGTTTATTAACATTTGAAGACCTTAATTTCTTTTTTTTTGTTTGTTTGTTTGTTTGAGAGGATTGCATCCTCTTTCTCCCATCAGTTAGTCTAAAAATGTATCCTCAGTACCAAGAGTTTTTAATTTAGCTGTTAAAGAAAGTATATTTTAGATTTTTAATCTAATTTTGACAACCGTATGAGGAGTTATTTCTGGTCTACAAATTATTTGATTGTATTTAGTTTTCAAGGTTTTATTTTTCAATAATTTACAAATTCATTCAGAACTGAAAATGTAAAAAAAAAAACAGTGTGTTCCTTAATTTGTATGGAGAAAACCTTTTTTTATCTTCAGATGTTATTGAATGAATAGCTGCATTTTGTTTCTTGTCTCTTACTTATATTTTACAAGACATAATTTTTTAGACTAACTGAATGGTTTGAATTCTTCTCACTACACATGTGGATTCAGTATTACACTGCGCTTTATTTTATATTATTTTGTGGTTTAGATTCAGAGAAGCCATACGATTTTCCGGTTAAACAACGTTGCAAGTTCTTTGAGAAGGAGAATGGAAAAGCTAATGAAGCTGAGCCCAGAAAGGTTGTGCAGGAAGAAGTCTTGGAGAACAACCCCTCAGATTCTGAGGCTATGAATCCTGAACTAACAGCTTTGTCATCTGAACGTAGTGAGTACACATGGGTTAAATATTGCATTTTCCCTTACTGCTACTACCCGCCATGAACATGTCTAAAAGTATTTTTAGACACTAAAAACACTTCACATAGAGCTGATATTTGCTACTTTCTCATTTCACCATAAGAACTATTGTATTATCATAGAAGTATTTTCCTCTATTTTCTAAATTTTTGTTTTTAAAGTGACTCGCTCCATTTGTTTGAACAAAAGAGCTGTTATCCCCTCACCAACTCCTCCAACCCCTATGAAGTTTGCATGGACACCCAGGTTGCTGAAAAACAATTAAAGTTTAGACAAATTTACAGTGGTGTGAAAAAAGCATTTGCTCCTTTCCCAATTTCCTATCTCTTGTATGTTTGTCACATTTCATTGTTTCGAAAAATCTCAAGTAATTTCTTGGATGGTTACTCTTTACTTCTGCTGGATTAAAAATCTATTGACCCGGTGATATGCTTACTGAAATAGGTTTTTTGGATATTCTCATCCTGTATGAATGATTGCTTTCTTGATCTTCTTTTTTTTTTTTTTTTCAAAAAAAATTAAAAATAAATATATAAATCTTACCACAGCTGCAGGCACTCTGCCCCTAAGACATTGTGACAGCCCTTCAGGATCTTTCAGCCTTTGGGCCTCCTGGTAAATGACGGCAGACGTGGGAGAGGGCCCCTTTACAAAGATTTGCCTTGGGCCCCAAAATGGCTCCTTTCCAAAGTCTGCTATTGGAGGGGAGCAGTTACTTTTTCACACAGGGCCATGAAGGCTCGTTTTCTTCTTCTAACCATTTAAAAACTTCATTTTGTGTTTACTTGTATTTTTCTTGACTAATATTTAAATTGGTTTGATGTTCTGAAGCGTCTAAGTGCGACAAACATGCAAAAACATAGGTAATCAGGGAGTGGAAAACAGTTCTTCACACTGCTGTAGAGCTATTTTTTCCAAAACAAGCAGTCACTGTTTTTGCTTTCATATGTGTGACAGCATGTCACACCCATTTGCGCTAGTGAGTCTCTGACAAGCACATTCTTTCAAGGAAAAAAAAAAAAAGAGAAAAGCACCTGAAACTTCACGTTTGACCAGTTTGATTACAATAATAGAGTTTAATTTTATTCAAACGGTTGTACATGTTTTCTTGTATCTAAAGCAAGCTGTGCTTCTTGTGGCATAGTCATTTTACGCAGTTCGACAAAAGCCAAATGTTCATGTTAAGACAAATCCCAACTTGCCTCTGCAAGTAACAGTAATGCTTACAGCTCACTTTTCCACTCAGTTTTTTTTTTTATGTATTGAACTTGTGTTCACATGCAACTTTAGTTTGAGAACATCTGAAAAGTAAGAACTGGGGCTTATGTATTTTCCCTTTTGATCCCTTGATGTTGCCAAGGAACAAATATTATGACATTTATGTGGAAATACTGAAGCAACTTCTAAAGGTATCAGCCAGTAACTTACTGGTCTGGATTTTCAATTGGACAAAGAAATTAGTTATACATTGGCTTAAGGAAAGAAGAAGCTTGTGAAAGGACATGTTTGGCCTTTTTGGGGGGGTTCAGTCCTTTCTAATGCTCTTGAATAACAGTCATTACAACTAATTCTCTTAAAATACTAATTAATTTAATCTTAGTACAAATACCATCATTCTATGAAGACCTCAGGGATTTATTAGTGAAAAAGCATCATTAATACTAAAGAACACACCAGACAGGTTAGGGGTAGGATTTTGGAGAAATATAAAGTAGAGCTAGCAGGACTTTCACTGAGTAATCGGGGTATATGGTGAGTCAAAACTATGAGGTGCATAAGGACATCCTCTCCTTATGCACCGATTCTGCAAAGAGAATGAGTGTTGTCTTAATCTAGGGGTTATGTCATGTGACTCTTATTCAGTTTTTAATAGAAACTGAACAGCTTCAGTTTCTATAAACTATGCAGCACATTGCAGGATTAAGAGTTCACTCATCAATCTCCTGTAATCAGTCCTTCATGGTTAGACGTCCACCAAAGTCATGTTTGAAGATGGCCACAAATGATAAAGAAGTGCATCAAACATTTAAAAGAAGTTGTCTGGTTAGATGAGACCAAAATTAAACTCAATGGCCTAAGTGTGAAAATTATTTGTGGGGGGAACACTAGCACCTTTGCATCACCTTGAAGACTCACAGTGAAACATGGTACTGGCAGCATCATTGGGGGATGCATTTCTTCAGCAGGACAGATATGCTTACTAGAGCTCATGACAGATGGATGGAGATAAATGTGGGACAATTTTGGGAAAAAAAAAAAAAAAACATGTAAAAGACTTTTCTAATAAAAGCCAATGTCTGGTAATAAATCAAATATTGTTTGAAATTTCTCTCCAGTACAAAAAGCGACTGAAAATACAAACCTGAAAGTTATCAAGAAGCAAGGTTTATACGACCCTGCTGATTCTGGAAATCCAGATGAGGTGTCAAATGATCAGAGTGAGTACAAATAAGCTAATGAAGCTGAGCCCAGAAAGGTTGTGCAGGAAGAAGTCTTGGAGAACAACCCCTCAGATTCTGAGGCTATGAATCCTGAACTAACAGCTTTGTCATCTGAACGTAGTGAGTACACATGGGTTAAATATTGCATTTTCCCTTACTGCTACTACCCGCCATGAACATGTTTAAAAGTATTTTTAGACACAAAAACACTTCACACAGAGCTGATATTTGCTACTTTCTCATGTCACCATAAGAACTATTGTATTATCATAGAAGTATTTTCCTCTATTTTCTAAATTTTTTGTTTTAAAAGTGACTCGCTCCATTTGTTTGAACAAAAGAGCTGTTATCCCCTCACCAACTCCTCCAACCCCTATGAAGTTTGCATGGACACCCAGGTTGCTGAAAAACAATTAAAGTCTAGACAAATTTACAGTGGTGTGAAAAAAGCATTTGCTCCTTTCCCAATTTCCTATCTCTTGTATGTTTGTCACATTTCATTGTTTCAAAAAATCTCAAGTGATTTCTTGGGTGGTTACTCTTTACTTCTGCTGGATTAAAAATCTATTGAACTGGCGCTATGCTTACTGAAATAGCTTTTTTGGATAGTCTTATCCAAAACAAAAATAAAACTTAAGCAGTCCCTTACTGTCTGATTGTTTAACTTCCAGACATTTTGAATAAAGAGGATAATCCTGTAGATGCTGAGGAAACTAAGGATGCTTTTTCAAAAAGCAGATCTAGCAAGATATGAAGCAGTGTCACCTGCTTAATAATGAGCTGATATTTATTTTTTTTTTTATTTTAGCAACCAATTTACTTCTTCTAATCTCACAATTTTGACCATTTTGTCTTTTTCTAGAGTTAATATTGTTTGTGGAAGAGTGGCAAAAATCAACCTTTGCTTGCCTTGAAAGAATTAGTTTTGCTTACAGCATTTCTGTCTCTTTTATAGGTTTAAGTGAAAAACCTGAAGGTAGTGGATTTTCATCTCCTCCTGCGGTGTCACCCAATCTTAATCATCCTTGTTCAGATGATGAAAAATCAGGGGATGAAGAGAAACCTCCAGATGTTTTGGAGAATAATCCTGTAGAAGCTGAGGAAACTAAGGATGCTTTAACTGGTGCGCTGAATGGCAATAATGGCTACAAAAAAGCGACTGAAAATACAAACCCGGAAGATAAGAGACCAGTTTCAAATGATCCCTCAGATTCTGGGAATCCAGATGAAGTGCCAGAAAATCAGAGTGAGTACGAATGACCTAACTATGTAATTTTAAACACAGGACACTTTGAATTTTATACCATTGATCTATAGTATACATGTAAATTTTACAGGAGGAGAGCATCAAAAGTGAGGCACATAAAACTTGATGTTCCACAAAATTTTCTTGGAAATCCT